AATGCTATATTCCTAAAAGACATTCTGCTGTCGTCCTAACGGGAGTGTCTTATCTCAGGCACGCCACCAAGTGAGTGAGTAAGGTTAACAAGAAAGAAAAAAATGCATGGCTCAGTAACATTATCTCCTGCATCAAATGAAGTATAATTGAGGCAGAATGCATTTAGAGATTAAGAAACTGGTCATAGATTGTGTGTTCTTGCATGTAAGTCTTAGGTGAGATGGTGAGATGTCGGCATGTGCAGGTCTCGATAGAGATCACTAGTAGCAGTGTGGGGAGCTTAAGCAGGATGGGACCTGTTGGTGATGAAATCAGACTCTTTGGAGGATTATTTGTAAATGAGAGGCAGAACAAGTGAAATGAAATAGTTTCATCCTTCGAACCCTCTGACGTCAAAGACAAAAACACCAACAAGCCCTAGCTCCAAAACAATAAGTCAGACGCACAATCACACCTCATAAATGAATGAATGAGAAAAAAAAGCCAAAAAATAGAAATGACATATTGTGATAGCCTCTGGGTCACGGTTAGGACCAGCACCCACGATCCTTATAAGGTGTGGGTGTGCACTCCTATGGCTAGAATTTCTACATACTTTTCTACCTAAAGCCAAGCTTAATGTGATAATTAATGTATGAGAGTTGGATTAAAAGGTAACGTTTTCACATTTTCTACTTTCTGAAATGTTGCTTGTCTCTCAGAATATCAACAATCACAGAATCCCAAACCCTAAACTCTTGACCCCCACCATTCAAAATACATTTCCACTCAGGATAAAATATTTGCCTATAACCTAACCTATGATCAGTGACACAGATACTGCAGCAACTAAATAAATAGATAAAACAGTTGACTTCATTATTTGTTGCACTTTGTGACCAAATGGGAGAGATAAATGTGCTAAATGTGACAAATTACTTGTGCTGTTGGAGGTCTGCAAGGTGGAGTAAACAGTATGAAAATCCCGTCGGATGCACGTGACTTGAATCAAACCAAACCCCTGCCATTCAGACGGCACTTCCACTCAGGACGTGTAGGTGCAAACCGATCAAACGGGTGAATGGAAAAAATTGCATCATTAATGATTTTGATAAGTACAGTAACACTTATCATCTGCAGCTGCCAGCAGCCACTGAATTGATCTCAGTCTTGTGTTATATTCAGTTGTTTTTCATCGCTGGTAGTGGTTAGATTTATTTGCAAAGCCTCTTGTTTTTCTCAGGAAGCCTCACACTGAGAATTACAGCTACCATTGTACTCGTATTTAAACCCACTGCTTTCCACTCTGTGTAACTCTCTGAACTTGTCTTTCTCTTTCTTTTTTTTGTTGTCCTTTAAGCCACTTTTATTAAACTCTGCCGCTTACATTTTTGGCCTCTGTGCCTCCCACCCACACTTTTTAATCACTCCAAAGCTAATGTTTTTAATTTATTATTCATTTTGAAATTTAGCCCAGGCTCTTAAAACGTCTCAGATTGTCAGTATGTTTACTTTTTTTTCTTCTTCTTGTGGTGGTTGCTTGTTTTCTTTTCAGCTGTTGTTGTGTAAGAAGGAAAGCTTGGTAGTGAAGGTAGAGAAAAGACGAGGCGGAACGAAAGAGGAGGAAGAAGAGTGAGTGACACCACCACAATAAAAACAGCGCCAGTAAAGCCTGCAGAAATATTAAGAAATTCAAACAATAACCATGGATTCTCCCTCATTTGTTCTGGTGAATTTCTGTCCAGTGTCCAAAAACCAAAGACCCTGTGTTTCTGTTGGGCTTGCAAATCTGCCCACAGCATAGTTACAGTATGGAAAATAGTGCAGTAAATTAAAAAAAAGCCTCACGTTTGCCTTTTTCTACTGACAGTTTCTAATCTCTGTGTTCACTGAGGGTCACACATGCCGGCTGATATTGTCCAGGGCTCTTATGTAAATAAAAGCAGTCCATTTGGCCTGAGTGAGCTGGCTGCTCTTTGATACTTTGGCATGTGTCCCCTGTCAGGCTTGGAAGCAGAGCTAATGGCATTATCCTATATTAGACTTTTGGCTGACACGCGCTCATCAGGGGATGGAAGCCCACGAGGCTCACGCTCTCATCAGTGTATCAGCACATGGGGGCCTACATGTTAAAGGTAGCAATGTTATGAGGTACTGACCATGTGATAGCACGGGTAGTGTGAAGCTCCCAGATATACAATCTGCCCATCTCTCTTTTCCTTTGTTTATTCGTTTGCTTTTAAATATAATTTATGAATATATTTATTACATTATTTACTGCAACATGGAATGGGAAATTTAATTAGTTCATTGTGTAATACAAAAAGTTTACAGTTTACCTTTAAAATGACATCTGTTCTCTTGGCTAGAGTTTTATTTATGCTGATAAAAGCTTTATACTGTAAGCTAAAGGCCACGGGGAGGACTCTCCTTTAAGAGCAACCGACCTCCGGCAGAACCAAGTTCAGGGAGGGGCAGCCACCCCATCAGGTGAGGGGTGAGGGGAAAGAGGAGCACGGGGAAACTATGACAACAAACGGGATAAAAAAAGGATCTATGAGATAGATAGTAAGCAAAAGATAACGTTGTGGCATAAAAATCCATGAAGAGTTCAAACGGGTGGTGGAGAGGAGGTGCTGTGTGCATCACAGGAGGCCACCCAACAGCCTGAGATAACATTCAACATAAATAGGTGCTGTGAACTGCCTCTTAGAGCTTCCTGACTTCTTTGTTTTCCTGCCCGTAGCGCTCAGTCCCAAGCCCTTTAATTACTGAAGATATAAATCTTTGAAAATGGTTGACAAATATTTAACACTCACACAGCACTAAATTGTGCATTTGTTAGCCACAAATCAATATAGATTTAGTGTAGCAGTGTGTGTTTACAGCAGCAGGAAAGTGGATTTCTATGGCACAAAGAAACATGATACATCAGGCTTTGACTTGTATATACACAAACTTGCAGGAGAACAAATTCCTCGTTTTGCCCGTCTGAAAAATACAGATATCAATGTCTTATTTTTGAAATTCTGCTAATCATACTGTAAAACTTTTTTTTTGCAGACTCATTCTCTCTGGCTGGAGATCCTCTGGGAGCCTGGAGGAGGATGGAGCGAGGAGGGGAGAGTCCCATCACCCAGGACAGTCCCGAGCAGAGGGGGGGCAGCCCAGATCTCAGCGGCCTCCCGCCACCGGGGAAGAAAGGCCGGTTGGAGCTCAACGGGAGTCCCACTGGGCCACGAATACGCCACAACGGAGCCCCACTGAGACCCCTTGGAGGTAAGGCTCATATTGATCATGAGGCGTGAATAAAAGAAAGCAAATTTCTATCAGAAGATAGATTTTTCAAAAAACAAACACTACTTCTAGAGTCTTGGCAATCAGGCAACAAAGAAAGTAACTTGTACTGATGCATAAATTATTAGCACGTTACCCCCAAAATTGGCTTTTCCTTTTTCAAAATATAGAAATAGAAGTCATAGAAATACATTAATTAGTTTGGATTAAACTGTCAAAGTTAAACGCTGTCATCTTTTATTTAATGAAAACAAATGATCATCAAGCTATTGATTACTGCAATTATTTAAAATCCATAAATCCCTGAGTTTGTGGATCATTCGATTATAAAAAAATATATATCAGAGAAAGCTGTGTGATCACGGTGTCAGAGGTTTTAAAGCGCTTACGTTAATCAAACCCCAAAAGCAGCTTTTGGCTTTACAGTGAACCACATCCCGCCCATGAGTGGAGTTTGGCACAGTGTGCCATGTAGTAATGTGGCGGTGCTGAGGGGAGATGCTCAAGCTGCTTCTGTCCAGTTAATGTATAAGTCTGGGGGGAACGGTATAACACAGGCTTACCAAATAAAGGAGATTGCTCCATATAAACAAGATTTATACAAGTCACCGTGGCTTATTGATCCCTGCATTCATTGTCAAAGTTGGTTCTTGTTAATGTGCAGCTGCACGAGGGGATGCAGTTCCCCGTCTGTGTTTTGGGGTTTCATGTTGCCGGGTGTTTGCAGTTTTTTTAATCTCTTAAACTCACTTTTACACACTTTGTCTGGTTGAGATTTTAAAACATTTGCACATCATGAATTTCAATTTACTCCTTTTATTCATTACTCGTTTTATGTTAACTGAAAATTCTAATGACCAAGATATTATTTGAAGTGTGCACTTTGATATCAAATGAAGGTATTTAGTTGAAAACAGGCTGGATGAGATTTGGTGGTGTACTTGAATGAAAATGTAAAATTGTCAGATTGCAAAGCTGCTCTGGAGCATAGAGATAAGTAAGTGAAAGAGCAGCTCCTCGTGGACTACAGAGCTTAGTCTAGACAAAACATTCAGAACAATCAGCCTGATCTTTGCATCTTTGGGACGCCCCACACCGTTAGTTATTTAGGTCACGATGTGTACCCTCTTACTCGCTCTGGGAAAATTCAGGTCAGAGAATTATTTTCTTTTTTTAGAGTCTCTGTATTAATGTTTAAATGATACATGTTATGAGAATTGTGAGAATTACTTTTTGAGTACCACTAAAGGGAAAGATGGAAACACTGTTTAATTTTAGGGTCTACATAGTGGACCTTATTTGCTTTTACTTATTTTCTGCCATGTATAATATAATTCAAGTGTAATTCTATTTTATTTATATAAATAAATAATGAGCAATTAGTAATGTAGAATGCAAAAGTGAAAATTTGCTAGACTTTATGCAAATTTGCATCAAAAGTCATGCTGCATATTTCTGCAAAACTCTAGGATCCAGCATAAATATCTGTGGCTTTGAGCAGTGCTTGGCTACAAACTGTGAGTTTGTAGCGATGAATCTGCGTGAGGTTTTTGGAAGAGCAGCTAACAAATCAACAAGAAGCTCAGGTTTGACCACAGTAAGAAGAGAAGAAGAAAGAAAGTGTTGAAGCAAGAATGGATGATAAAGTGTAAAAAAGGAAGGAGACAGGGGGCGGGCTTTTCTGAGCTGAACGGATGGATGGTTGGTTGGACTGCAGTAATGATGGGTTGTTTTCAAAGACAGGAAACTCAACGTGTCTCCTCCAAACCACTGCTGCCATGAGGAGGGGGCCACACACACACAAACACCATATGTCCACCAACTTCCAGGCTGCGACACTCACAACAAAGAAAAGCTGCCAAGATACACACACCCCCTTCCACTGCTTGCATACACATATCTTATTTTAATATCCCTGTTCACTCATCCCTATACATATTAGAGGGATTAGAGGTTTGAGGCTACATCACATCGTCCAAACCAGATCATACAGTCGGCGGGCAAATCACAGGACACTGCATATGAGAGAAGACAGATTGAGGTGGAGACGGAGGAAAGAGCGAGATAGAGGCAGAGAGAGAGGGAGAGAGGAGTGCTGGTCGGAGGGAGCTGCTCTGTGTTGACAGTTATATTTCCCTGTTGGGGGAAATTCACTTACTTGAATTGGCATGGTGCTCCAGTGTGTAATTCACTCCATGAGAGCCTGGAGGACTGGGAGCAGAGTGATTAATGAGGAGGAAATAGAAATATAGAAATTGACTGATTAAAACAACGGGTGGGATGGATCGGGGTGCAAGGGGAGCTAATGCTGCATGCACCCTAAAGTGTTTGTATGGATGTGTGTGTGTGCCGGGAAAAGGAGACAAGCATGCCTCCGTGTGTCTGTGTGTGTTATTGTGTGGTATTCATGCAGTAAAACACACGCCATGCATTATTAGTGCTGGGACGCTGCCTAATGCCACAGTCCGTCATTTCTTCAGAGGGCTTTAATTAATTGCTGGTTGACAGGTGGCCCAAAACCAAAAGCCTTTTAGGAAAAAGGCGGATATTGGAGAGGACGGATTGATATTCCACTAAATAGCCGAGAGGAAGAAATTTTGGGATTGGATTCTTACCTTAAGCAGATAATGAAGAAAGAGGAAGAAGCACATGAATAATCAAGACCTGGATGACAGTGTTACAGGGGCGTCAGACAAAAAGTTTGAGAGGAAACAAAATAAAAGAGAACTACAGGATTTTAAAATAAAAGGCATCCACCAATTAGCCGTGGAGTAAGAGAGACATCAGCTGTTATCGTCAGAAGCTGTAGATGTTGTCATAAGTCACTCAGACCTGTAAGGCTTATATTTTTCTGTCTTTAAGCCTTTTCTCCAAGCTATTTAAAAATGAAATCCATTTGGTTTAATGCAATCCAGTTCAGATTACAACATTTCTCACCTTAGAGCCCCTTTAACCTACTAAAATTGAAACATGGCAGTATTACAGAAGAAAACTAACAAGTTCTCCTTCAGCAGATCTTTTTCTTTAGTGAGAAAAATCCAAATCTTGCCTACTGAACTTCAGCTCTTTCACATGCATGAACTGCTGCTCAGTGAAGTAGGTGTGAGTGTTGAATTGTTGGTTTTAGACAACAGACAACCCCAGCTCAGTTCTGAAGAGAATGTGACAGATGAAAATCATGCAGATGCTGTTAGTCTGTCACTGTCTCTATCTATCTATGTGTATATATGATGTGATAAAAACTTTAAACTTGCACATGTATTGCAGCGATGTGGTTCAAAGCATTGCTGCTGATGGCATTAAAACCAAGTCAAGGATTTTGCTTTCATGAATGCATGCATGCGCGTCTGTGTATGCCTGTGTGGTATTAATGAGGGACAAGAACTTCTTCACTTGATGTGTGTGTGTGTGTGTGTGTGTGTGTGTGTGGTAGAATTTTCCAGAGAATCTGGTTTGAGTTTTTCACCTGGTTTAAATTTGCATACTCGAGAAAGACTTATCATGTTAATTCAAGAAGCTGTGACCCTACACCTCTCTTTTACCATATATTAATCATCTTTTGCCACAGCTCTTCCACTTTTTCTGGTTGCGACACTGTTGTCACATTTTTATTTTTATGTTATTAATAAACTAAGATAAGCAGCTGCTGCTTTCACCCTTAAGTCTTTTGTATATTGGTTTTGCATACGTGCTATGGGAACCATTATTATGACTACTTATCTAATAGTCCGTTAGATGCAATGCCTGTGAGCGTGCAGCGTGCAGGGAACAACACTGTTAGAGTCTATGTAAGATTGCATATCATTTTCCATTCCTAGCTGGTTGCCGCATATTGAGAGTTTCAGGTGTTGCAATACTCAACAGTGTGAAAGAAAAAGGATGAATTGATTACAAGCTTAACCCGCAGTGAATATAATCCACATGTTTTCTATCTATGAGGGATGAAATGCCATGTGATCGCAGACAATTAAAGCCAGGCATTAAAAAAATCTTCCTGTTGCTTTTCTCCTTCTTCTTTTTATTGTCCTCCACAACAGGTCTGATGATTCCAGTCTTCTGTGTGGTGGAGCAGTCAGATGGAGGGATCCAGACAGACGGATGTGAGGGACGAGAGGAGCACGCAGAGTTTGTCCTGGTCAGGAAGGATATACTCTTCTCTCAGCTGGTGGAGACAGCTCTGCTGGCCCTCGGGTACTCCCACAGCTCTGCAGCACAAGCCCACGGTCAGTCAAAGACATGCTGTTACATCTGTAATGCGCCTATTCTCTCCATGTTTTAAAAGACACACGTTCTTACACTGAGACAAATTCTTGAAAGTGAACGGTGTAATTGTATAAGACACTTGTCAGAATATCTACATGCTACACTGTATAAATGTGACTGTGCTAACGCTAACAGGTTTGCTGTCCTCTCAAAGACCAAAACCCCCAAACTAAAGTATAACTACGCAGCAAATGATTATTTGTTTGTCAGCCAAGACGCAGACAAACCATCAAAGTTTGAGAGCATGAATGGGCAGAGTATGAGTTTGGTAAGCCTCAGGCTGCAGTAGGTTCATACGTAAAATACACCTGTTCATGTGTGTAAAACTAGATTATATATTACAAATATGCTGCAAACAGCTATCTCAAAGGCAAACCTACATCTGTTTCCAGTCTTTATGCGAGGCTAACTAGCAGCTAGGTAGCTGCTAACTAACTAGCAGCTAGTTAGCCTTTCATGTAGCCTGAGATTAATACTTGTAAATGAGTATTCCTCCTTAACTAAGGGTTAGAAACTAAATAAGAGTGATGATTATCAGTCATTTTTAGTCTATTTGAAAAGCTACAACAAGCAGCCTATTAGCTTAGCTTAACGTAAAGACTGGAAAGCTCAAAGGTAGCCTAAAATGAGTGTAACTTAGATTATTAATAGTGTTATAACAGTTGAACCAAAAAACCCCTCCTTTATCAAATTCAAAATCAAACTCCAGACATTAAGTCAACATCAAAAGGAACCCAAACGCAACAACAACGATGCTGCTAAACAAAGTAAAACACTAGGTAAATACAGAAAGACTACCGTATTTCCCGGACTACAAAGCGCACCTGAATATTAGCCGCACAAGCTAAAATCAGGGGAAAATCCTGTTTTGTACATACATTAGCCGCACCTGACCAAAAGCCGCAGGTGTTTCAATATTGACTTATCATATGTAAGAGAATATGCACAAAGCGAATTGTCAGGAAAGAGATGGCTGTTTGGAGACACACCCCTTTTATTAATATTTTGAAAATCAAGTTATGGGTACATATTTGCACATGTGCTGTGCTTCATAAATGAGTAACAAATGTAGTACATAACAGTAACCTACAGCACACCAGAAAAATAGATTCGGACTACCTTTTAGGCTCAGGTGCAGTGACACGGCTTTAACAAGAAGAAAAGTCAGTCATTCACCATCTTCCTGCGCACTAAAACCACCAAAGTCCTCTTCTCCAGTGTCGGATACGAACAGGCTCAGGATGGCTTCGTCATCCACTCTCAGCTTCTTTCCTTCGTTGTCACTTTCAAAACCAAAGATAATCCTCATTGTCATTGTCAGTGTCGGAGTCGAACACCCTCTGAAGGGCCGTGGCGGTGTCCTCCTCTTCATCATGCAGCAGTCCAGCCCTTCGAAATCCGTTGGTGATCGTGGATGTTTGCACACTTTTCCACGGTGTCAGAATCCACCGGTGGAGTTGAGCACAACTTGCTTTTCGCAAATTTATCGCCGCTCGTCATCCACGACTCCCGCTGAACGCATAGCGCTACTTTGAAGTTTGTTTTTCGCGCTACTTGTACGGCACTATGTTGCCTGGCGGATGGACATGTGACCAACATACCACTCTTGAACCCCGATCCTTCCGCCAGGCAACGTAGTGCCGTACAACAGCGGAACAAACAAAACAAATCGTCTTACGATATCACAAAAATCATGGAAAATCCATAGAAAAGCCGCACCTGACTAAAAGCCGCAGTGTTCAAAGCTTGTGCAAAAAGTAGCGGCTTATAGCCCGACAATTACGGTAATCCTGTCACTATACTATTACTTAGATTCTTAACATGCTATGTCATGCTGACTCTTGTTGATAGCATGACAAAAGTTTCACTGAGGCTCACAGTGTAAACTATAATACTGTGTCAGAGTTAAATGTCCTGCAGCTCAAAGGTCAAGACAAGAATGAAAGAAGACTCTCCCTCTAATCAGTGGTCTGAGAACAAAAGTGGATGTGAGGTTGCCTATTTGGAGCAGACACTGAACTATTACAGTGGCAATAAGCTAAAGAATGCTTCAAAAACACAACTGAAGCACAGACAGAGCCTGTAAAACTCATTAAAGACACAACAAAGAGCTGGACAGGAATGTCTCCCGAGACAAAAATATATTGTCTATGTGTGTGTGTGCGTGTGTGTGTGTGTGTGTGCGTACAGTATGTGTGAGAATGTTTATGAAGCAGAGAAAAAGAAAAAAAACTATAATTTATTGTTGCACACATGGTAGTCATCTGAAACAGGACAGTGTCATTTACTGCTGTCTTTTCTCAAGTATGCAGAATATTCCATCTGCGGGAGTTGCCTCACATCACTATAAAATGGTAACAACAGAGTGACAGTGAGCAACACAGCTATTGCAATACTTTGAAAATGGTGGGAGATCCCCATCTGTTTGAAATCTCGATTGTTTGTGTGTGTATGCATCTGCCATATAAGGTCCTGGTATTCAGGACAAAAAGAAATCTTGTTTTGCATATCGTCCTAAATATGATACATCATCTGGTGACCGCATATGCTACTGTTTGTGCAGTAGCATATGCAGCAATGCATGCAATATTAATAATATAGTATAATACGTTTTTTTCTTTTAAGCTGACCTTCCTGTAGGAGTTTAATTTAAATGATCTGATTTGCTCCACTGTACATGTTTGGAAATCACTGTCCTATAATATGTCTACTATAGATTTCTGTGATTTAACTGACTGTGCCTGCTAAGGTAGCTCACAGCACCAAAAAACCAGATGAGAATAAGTCTATACAGGAAGTACTGCTGCATATTCAGGTTAAAAAAGATGACATTAAATAAAGAAAACTAAAAAACGGCTTATGTGAGTTGTGGAAATCTGGATCTAATGTTTACAGTGTTGCAAGTAGCCATCTCTAAGCTGGTTTATTGCTAGCTGATGCTCCAGGCTGTGGTTGTTCAGGTACAGCTGTGGTCTAAAGCAGCAGTCCCCAACCTTTTTTGCGCCACGGACCGGTTTATGCCCGACAATATTTTCACGGACCGGCCTTTAAGGTGTCGCGGATAAATACAACAAAATAAAATGGTAAATGGCCTGTATTTATATAGCGCTTTACTAGTCCCTAAGGACCCCAAAGCGCTTTACATATCCAGTCATCCACCCATTCACACACACATTCACACACACATTCACACACTGGTGATGGCAAGCTACATTGTAGTACCGGTACTGAAAAAAAGAAGATTTATTCATAACACACGTGAAAAGACCCAGGAAAACAGAGTTAACGCTAAAAACGATAACAAAATAACGCTGAAAACCGATAAAAACCCTGGAAACTATACATTTCACACCTGAGCCTCAACTCTCGCGGCCCGGTACCGGTCCGAGGCCCGGGGGTTGGGGACCGCTGGTCTAAAGCTTACATACGCTCATCACAGTAATTTGGGGATTTTAATGATTTCTTTGAACGGTTCTTTTTCTTGGTGGTATAATTTTACAACATACATCTTTAATGACTTGGGTGCATAAGTTAGAATTTATTTGGGGTTTTCTTTAAAAGTATGCATATAGGCTCAAATAAACACACTCACTTGAATCTTTTAATAAATGGCTGAAGTGACTTGTATTTTCACGAGGCCAAGTCCAATTAAATAGTGATTATGAGTGACTAAAACTGGTAGTTTCTCTTTGCCAACAAAAAAAAAGAGATTTGTTTGCTAGTACTCACTGGATTAATCAATACACAAAACAATGGGAAAATCACTGGAACTTGGTATATGGACTGGTTCTCATATACTGCTTTACTGCTCCACTTGAACACTTTATACAACATATCTCATCCACTCAGTCACACTTGCATTCATAGAAGCACTTTTTTGTGTAATTTCTTTCTATCTAACGCTCACACTCTGATGGTGAAGATGCTGAACTGCCGATTTGCACAAGTTGGAGCAATTTCTAAACAATGCCGATTCCATGATGATCACTTCAAACAGCTGCATGTACGTACATGTCATTTGGATGTGTTGCCACTTTGCCAAGGTCTTGAAAAAGACGAAAAACGAAAAGTAACTGGCAACCCAGAAAACCCCAAGATGCAATGAAGTCGACACTGCTGGAACACCAGTATCACCAGTATCACTGACCACAGTGAAGCATGTTTTGTGCCATGTATAAGTACATGACACAAAGTAGATGGAATATTGAAGGTGAAGAAGGAATGCCTCCAAATTCTTCAACTTAACAGGTAGAAAGTTGAAACTTTGACTGGAATTATGCTAGAAGATTGTTAATAGCTATCAAGAGAGGTGGAATTTGAAAAGGAAATATTAGTGTGAGCCTGTATGCAAACCCAAAATAAATTCAAACTTCTGCACCCAATCCTTGATTTTTCAAGTCACTATAGATGAATACTTTTTTGAGTGTGAGTGAACTTCTGACCATGGCTGTGACCCTCTAATGTCATATGTCAGTCAACAGTAACCTTTGCTCTCATTGGAAGTTGGTTCAATTGCTCACCTCAAAGTCAGATGAAGTCACTGACTGTCACTGACATCTCTGTGTTAAAGCCTGCTAAGATGTTTCCATCAGCTCAGTTAGTTATAATTGCAATAGCTTTCTTTGGTGAGAAAAAATAACAATGGAAAAATGGAACATCTTAATCCCGCTGTGTATTATTAGTGGTACTGTCTATGCCAAAGCATAAAATGAAATCATATAGAAAGGCCCAGGTGATTTGAGAGTGTAGAAAATATTTTATTTCCTTTATAAGATAATAGTGAGGTGATCTTAAACCAATTGGCCAATCTGCTTCACTGATATTAGTCTGTTTGTATTCAAAGTGTAAAGAAGAGCATTTATAAACTGATTGTTGTGAGCTGCTTATGCTGCTCGTCTTTTGTTCTTCTGGTTGGAAAGATTCAGAGCTACAATTGAAGCCTTGTTAAATTAGTTAGAAA